TGTTTTTTTTTTTTTTTTTTTTTTTTTTTTTTTTAATTTCGTTTCTTTTGTGTTTTTGGCATGTTCTTTGAGCACGTCGCGACCTCAAAAAGTTATGACGTCAATAGTTGCCTGCCTGCCTGCTCCAGTGTCTCTACAACTCGCTCTCCTTCTCTCTTATCTCTCTGTTCCTTTCTCTCTCTCTCTCTCTCTCGCTCTCTCTCTCCCTCTCTCGAGCTCTATGCGTCGGCGCATTAACGGCTTTGCCACCTTAATCGACGCTGTGTGAGATACACACGTTTGAGGGGCCCGCGAATTGTGTTCAGTTTCATTTCTGTTCGGTTTTAGAACAAAACGATTTTCATTTGAGTTTTTCTCCTTATTTGACGCACCTTTTCCGTTATTAATTTTTCGCCAAATATAATATTAATTATATAAAAAATCAATGTAAAATAGTTTTATTTAGTTTCAAGCGAGTTCATTTTGTTGTTTGTTTGTGCAATATTGAAATAGTTTTTGGGTTTTCGCTGTGAGTGGAAAGCTTTTTCATATTTTTTCTAATGAACAAAATGTTCAAAGTTCTATAAATAGACATGGCTATACACAGAGATCGCAGCAAAGCAGATCCCCGAGCCAGTGGCGCTTGTTGTTGCAATACACACACACACACACACATACGCACACACACTTAGATACATCTAAATATACTGTTATATATGGGCCAACTGTTTCGAATTACTAACTAATCCAATTCGAATTTCAGACTTTGTTGCCATTATGATGCTGCTGTCTGATCGCTGGACCTGCACCATGCTCTGCTAAACAATGGATCTAGCAGATCAAATCGATGACTATATCTGTTCGTTCGAGGGACTTGGTGACTTAACAATGGACTCCTTAGCCATCTTCATATTCTTGTGGGCCGTCTTGGCCCTATTCTCCGTTTGGCTGTGCAAGCTGCTCTACCACAAGTATCTGAATAAGGGCGCCAATGCCGCCGCCTCTACCGGCAGTGCCGGCAACAGTCGCCAGAGCAGCGTGGCTCCTGGTGCAGCTGGCAAGCCAGAGAAGCGACTGTCTGAGCCACGCGATCTGCTGGCCACCAAGAGCAAAGTGGAGGACCTATCGAAGCCACTAACCGGCGCGGCCGGGGGCGCTGCTGGCGGTGGTGCAGCGGGCCGCGGACGTTCCACAGCCTCGCCCATGGGCGGCGCAGCGGCCGGAGCGCGTCGTCGAGTGGTGCGCCAGAGCTCTACGGGACCAGAGAACCGTAAGAAACGATATGTGCCGCCGCCCTCCAATGTGGTGGGACCAGAAACGGTAAGTGAAGTAGTGCTGATTCCCCTGACCTTCGAGATCAGCTCAATTGAAATTGATCTCTTTGCAGAGCTCCGTCACATGGACCAGCCAGGTGTTTCGCTGGCTTTACAGCGATCTAGTTATAGTCAACGAACTGCTCATGTCCTGGGTGATAGCACTCAACGACACCTTGCGCAAATCCGTCGAGGAGGTGAGTGCATGACCTCACCAGCACCGGCTTGTGACGTCACTAGAATTGCTTTGCTCCCACCTAGCTCTCCCCAAGTTCTCGCCATGCGACGGCGTCCATTGAACCCAGTTCTGGTTACGTGGCCTCGACTTTCAACTTGGCTTTTTACTTGGTTTAGCTCAGGCGCTCAGCCAGTCAGGCGTAGCCGGCGTAGAAACGCGTTTTGAGCACAGCTAGCGATGCTTGTTTCTTTTTTATTTTTTTATTTATTATTTGTATTTTATTTTATTTTACCTTTATTGTTTTCTTTATCAACGTCGCTCCCCGAACGTAGGCCAAGGTCAGCAATTTTATTTGTGAGCTGTGCGTTAGTCATTCACTCGCAGCTTTATGACTTTTTCTGGCTCTGTTGTGTTTTCGCATGGCGATCACATCCATATGAACTAATTCTTTATAATCGCCGCTTACGTAATGTCGCCAAAACCAGAAACAGTCGGCGACGGCAAAGTCGTCCAACAGGTTTTCTAGCACAGAGGCTGGCTAGCCGCAAAGGCTGCCGCAAGGCTGCATCCTTCAGGCCTGAGATTGAGCGTAATCAAAGGGACAAATATCGATATAGAATGATTGTAATCTATGCCAGATTTCAGTATTACATTCACATCCTCTTCGATGTTATCGATGGCACAAATATTTATATTTGTCTTCTAATTTATGACCTTACTTTTAGACTGTGAAATTGTATGATTCAATTGATCGCGCTATTAGATATTGATGACACGCTCAACAAACCGATAAATATTGATAAGCATTATCGATTCTAAGACAATATTACAATCTTTATTGCTTGATTATATATTTCGGAATTTATTTCTGTTAGCTCACTTAGTTTTCAGTTGATGTTATTGACGATATCGATATACGTCTCAAATCCCGTATTGATGGGTCACTACTTAAATTGTCATATTTAATCATGAGATATCGTTATCGATCCGAATTGATCGATTATAGACATTTTTAATATTTTTATGCAAATATTTTGCTAGATATGGACACGATTAAATATATTATCGATTTAAAATCGATAGTTTATAGTATATAAATAATGCAATAGATGACATTAAAGTCCATATATACATATAGATAATGAATGCATAAATATGGATAAGTACTCTCACCACTTATTAGCTGTTATCGATAACTAATTGAGCACATCGATAAATACCAACTGAAATTCTCTCCATTTGCAGCATGGTGTAGCAGTTGAGGTGGTGCGCGTACTGCCCGATAGTCCAGCACCGGCTCTTAATAATATATTTTGCAATTGCGAGGAGCAGAATCCCGCTGAAATGGTAAGTGGAGTGCTGAAATAAATGATCCATCTATGCTAATTGGGACTTAACCGCTGCTTACAGCTCATCACCTTCGACTGCGATGCGATGCCGGTGCTGCAGGTGAAGACTTTTAGGCAGAAGTCGGGCAAGGTGGAGACCTCGCATTACAAGGTCACCGTGTCCCGGTTCCGTGCACGCATGTCCATACCCATCAACTACAATACGCTTAAGGGTGAGATGCGTGTGGATGGCTATCCGGACGTAAGTACATAGATACATATATGAAATGATACAATAAATGTTGAGAACTAACACAATATATATATCTATATACAGGTGCGCATTACCATGAACAGTGTGGGCGCCATCAAGCCCATGGATCAGGATGAGCAGCAGCTGCAGACAGTCATCAGCGATATATTGACGACGGCGCTGCGCGACACCGTCTATCCGGTTGACTTCTCCATCTACTCGACCTGTCCCCGCGCCGAAGTGGAGCCCCTCGAGTTGCCCGTAATCTATCCCGTGCACTATGATTCGCTGGCGGTGAGAGCGTGTGGAGAGCAGTGAGAAGCGTCTGTTCTGTGTTGCGTGTTCTTTTCGTATTCTCGTAACTCTTCCCGTTGACATCTGCCCCATTTTCAACTAGTATACACACACACACTCACAAGTGTACAGTACAGCGATGTCTCTCACTCAAGCACCACACAGACAATGAAAGACAACACTTCTCATTGTTCTAGCGCCGTAACACCAAAGGACATACAATCTTGTATCTATCATTCAGCGTTCTGTTGAAATGAATGAAATTCGCCTTTTCTGTCTCTAATTCGCCATTTGACATATTCCACTCGATGTTTTGACCATTGCCTTGGGCTCTAGTTAAACTGTTCTCTCTCTCTCTCTCTTTCTTTTGCGCTCTCTCTTTTCAGGGCAATCAATACTTTCAATATTATTACAATTACTAAATCTCTATATATATATATGAATATATGTATAAATCACCCCCTTGAGTTCCCCCTCGATTAAAGGCGAATTTCATAAGCTTCAGCTATTCTCAAAGTTCTCTCTTTCTATCTCTATCTCTCTCTCTCTCTATTTCTACTTCTTTGAGTCAATTCAATTCTGTTAATTCATTCATTGTCACTCGCTCACTTGCATGCTCGGCCCACACACAGCACAACATGGAGCATCTGGGCTCTGGCCTGCTGCGCGACGGCCAGCACATGGTATCGGGTCGTCGCCTGCTGGTGAAGATCGTCAAGGGCGAGGGACTGAAGGATGCGCACGAGCCCTATGTGGTCATCGAGATGGACGAGCCGGCGCAGAAGAACCAGACGGGCACTCAGCGAGGCAGCAAACCCTACTGGGATGAGCATTTCCTATTGTGAGTAGAGATTCTCCTGATCTTTAACTGTACTTCTTGCCTTACTGACTCTTCTTCTTCTTCTTCTTCTGCAGCGAACTCTCCCCACAATCGGCTGAAATACTGTTTGAGGTCTATGATCATCCGGTGATTGCATCGGATCCGCCCAAGTTCCTTGGCCTCGGCCTGGTCGGCATCGACGAGCTGGCCGTGGGGCCCGCCTCCACGCAGGTGCTGCAGCTGCAGCCACGCCCCTACGAGACACAGCCCGTGACGGGCGCCATCACCGTTGACTTTGTGTTCATCGAGGGCGCCGAAATACCAGCCCACGCCCGACCCAATCGCCTGAAGGAAGCCCTGCGCCTCAGCACGCCCGCCATCAATGAGCACATTCGCAACGGAGCCGACCTGGCCGACGCTGCGGTCCGTGCCCTGCAGGATGGCACCCTCTCCGGCTCCACCGGCAATGGCCAGCCCAGCAAGAGCACCCTTATCATACACAGCGTGCAGCGGGTGAGTTGCCAGCGTTCCGCCATTCCCTGTCAGATCTCCTCTTTCTTATTCTCTTTTTCCTCATTTATTTATAATTTATATTTTGATTTTCTTTCATATTTCTTTTCATTTCATTTCCCGCAGAACTCGACCAATCCACATGCATTTAAGGTAACCTATGCGCCAGTTTCCAGCTCGATTTTTCCATTTTCTTTTTCCACTTACGTATATATTTGAGTTGAATTTCCATTACACTTAATTATGTGCTAATCAGCTATCCAGATGCRTACATACATATCCATTCATACAACATGTGTAGCGTCCAACGTTGAGCTAATCAGAAAAAAAATACAAATTTCGTTTCTCGTTCTGTTTATTGATCGTTTTGCCTAACCCCGCGCTTATCTAACCACCAATCGCTCCGGCCAGGTCGAGCTGAACAAAGATGGCCAGATCGAGGTCACCGAGAGTGCCTCGCCCACGGAGCTCGATCAGGTCGTCGCCCAGGCCTTCGAGCGTGCTGCCAACGAGGCTGCGGCCAACGCGAGCTCGATCGATCTGGTGGACAGCCCGGGCAGCGAATCACCCAATACAACAGGTAACACAGTTAACAGCAACGAGGAGACCACAGCCGAGGTGAGTAGCACGCAAGAGTTCCGAGTTTCACATTTGCACAGAGCATGGCATGCGCACCTGTAGTTGAGTTCGGGAGTTTAGCGATTCTAGCGAATCCTTTCCATTCGCAGTTTGGCCAGCCAAATGCCGCCTCCTCGCCCAATGGGAGTGGCTATCACAACAACTACAGCCTGAATGGCACCAACAATCTGAATGGCAGCGGCAGCGGCTACAACTCGAACAGTTTGACCCGCAATGGCGGCTCTTCGCCATTCCCAAGCCAGCAGCAGCAGCACCAGCAGCAGCAGCAGCAACAGCACTCGGGCTTGGATCTGGGCGATCGTGGTCGGAGCAAAAAACGTAATTTCTTTGGCACCCTCAAGAAGCGTCTCAGTCGTTCTAAAACCCGCACCCTATCGGCCGATCAGCCCAATAACAACAATCATAATTCACAATCAGCCAATAATACAGCAACAACAACAACAGGACTCACTCGAACAGCCACTGGAACCCTCAATGGTGATTCTTCCCGTTCATTATCTGTCGATCGTGCCACTCTGTCTAAAAGCAATTCACTTGGTAATTACCCCAAAGTCCATTTCACACCATTCATTACAATCACAAGCACACATTCACACACACACACACACACACACGCACACTCACATTCAGACAACATTAATGAACATTCACATTAGATCGTATCTAACTTTTGCACTAAACGCATGTGTTTATCAAGCGGAAAAATATTTGTACAAAAATATTCAAGTGGAACATAATTTGAAAACTTTACAACAAATTCCATAGAGCATGCACATTATTTAAAAATATTTAAAATTCATTTAGGCTGAGCTGCGGTAAAATTGATTAATAATAATTAAAACCAAACCAAAAAAAATATATTAAAAAAAAAAATTATAATAATTAAATGGAAACACAACAAATTATTAAAAATATAATATCAATAATTTTTGTTAATTTTTTTCTTAACGAAAAAATGCAAAGCTTAAATTTTAAGCTTCAATTATTAAATAAATATAAATTGTAGTACATTGAA